TAGGATATTATCCGTTATTAGCCGCCCTGGTATAAACGCACTCTGGGATTCTGAAATCAGGTCCCCCATAAGCGGTTTCATCCTGTTGGTTATCATCTTGGTCATTACCTTGTATATAACATTACTGAGAGCAATCGTTCTCATGTCCGCCACCGTTTCCAGCACTTTTTTCTTCGGGATTAATACAATATTAGTATCATTTAAACCTTCAGGAAATATGCATGTATTCAAACAGGTTGTTATAAACTCAGACACATCCCCCCTACCACATCCCAGAAATGCTGATAAAAGCCTGGATTCTTTCCATCCGGCCCAGGTGCTTTGTTAGGGTACATGGAGTTAATTGCCTCTTTCACATCTTCGGGTCCAACGGACGCAACAAAGATGCATTTTGATCATGAGATATCCGTGGCATAAAATCATCAAACAATACATCATTACACGTAGAATTCTCAGTTGCATAAATATTCTGAAAATAATCTAGTATGATAGAGCACATATTATTCTCTTCCACCCACATGCCAGCATTATTTTTAATTCTACTAAAAGTATTCTTCTTTTTACGAGCAGAGGCATACCTGTGGTAGAATCTCATATTCGCATCTGCATCACGAAGCCAATGTTGCTTCGCTCGCTGTCTCCAGAATACATCCTCTTGCGCTTCCAGCTGGGCTAAGAGCATATCAATCTGATGAAACTCGGCCATTTTTGTCGGCCGGGTCCCTCCTGTTCCTGATAATCCCCTGTCTCTTCCTCAATTGCCCAATTCGCTCTCCAAACTTATGAAAACCCTCACCGCCCCACCTCATCAACCTCTCACCACACTGCTGTTGACAATTCAGCAACCCCTCAACCCTCCCATTCTGCTAGGCCGACACCACCACATCCCTACACCCTTCGTCATGGAGTCATGCCATCTCAAACCTAAAACCCCTCGAAACCCTTCCCCTTCACATGCATGGTGCATCCACACTGAGGAAGAGAGCCGAGTGATCCGAGGGTCGAGCTATAATATTCTCCACCTCCACATTCTCATTCATACCACACCAGTCAGCCGTGGCTAAAACTTTATCAAGCATCTCCTCAATCCAGTTCTCCGTTCCTCTACTATTCTCCCAGGTAAACTGATGGCCCCTCATAGGTAACTGCATTAGACCACAACCATCCAGAGTCTCACCAAAGCCCCGTAGGAGATTATCCGGGTATGGATTCCCCCCTCTCTTCTCATACTGAAACAGGAGATTATTAAAATCCCCTATCACCACCCAAGGCAACGAGGATCTAGACTTCAATGTATCCAATAACTCCCAAGACTCCCACCTTCTATTACGATCCGGGTTTCCATAAAAACACGTCATACGCCACTGCTTACCACTTTCGGCCCTAACCTCCACATCCACATGATTCTTAGAAAAGCTCAACAAACTGGCCGTATTATTCCTCTTCGAAAACAGAGCAAGTCCACCACTCAAACCGTCATTATCTACATAAAATAAACCTTCATACCCAAGTGTGACACGGAGCCTCTCTTCATGTGTCCGTGCCACCATGGTTTCCATTAAGAACACAAACTCAGGCTTTTTACGGGACACTATGTCAACTACCTGTCGAACTGTTCGTGGATTGCCCAAGCCACGACAGTTCCAACTTAACGTACTCATGAGGATGGGCGGGACTGAGAACTAGATCCTGCCATACACAAGTTTTTTGACACATCATTCATTGCAACATCACCATCCCCCGATGCCAATTGCCCCTGCTGCCCTTCCTGTAGCTGTCTGCGGCGTTTTCCGGTCGCCACCACAACTCCTCCACACGGCAACACCCCTACCGAAGCCCCACCACCACCCCGGCTTCCCGGCGATCTCCCCCCGTCACCCTCCACACTGCCCGGCTGGGTAACCGGCATAGGTAGCGGCTTCCCTCCAACCGGAATTAGCCAACTTCCGCCCACCTCCCTCGGAGCGCTCCGGCTGCCCCCTGCTCTCAAATCAGCCCCATACGGATATTTTTCTACCGGAATGTGACTTTCCTGGGCCTTCAAACAAAATGTATAAACATGTCCCATGAGTCCACAATAGAAACAAAATTTGTGTAGCCGTTCATACCTAAACGTCACCCAACAAGTGGTCTTGTCTCTCTTAACCAGCTTCATACATCTCCTCAACGGTTTGTCTACCGCAATCGAAACCCGAATACGATAGAACGTTAACCAGGGGGCACCAACAAACCTATCATCATGCTTAACAAACGTACCAATAAAGTTACCCGCTTGCTCAAGGACCTTCTGTGACGTGTAACCCATTGGTAATTCATGCAGTTGAACCCACATATCAACAGTGTTGAGCAGCACATCACACGGATTCACACCCCCCACAACTTCTCGACACACAAGGGTGTTATTCTCAAAAGCTCACAGCCCCCCATCCAAAACGTACTCCACATCTGTTTTATGATAGAACACAAATAGGAATAGCCCCGGTTGAATTTCAGTTACCTGTACACCCTTGACCGGCTGCCACACTGATGCCAACACTTGCCGCATATACTCAAGCTTAACCATCTTGGCCGTGAGAAAACGCCCCACGACCGCCCAGGAGGCCTCCCCGTCGACTTCCACCTCCCCTACGCCATCACCGTCCGGCATAAACTCCTCCCCCTCCTCCTCTAACGCTATGTCCGCCCAACTTGCTGTCAACCGCTCGACCGCCTCATCAGACGTAGCCGCTGCCATGCCGCTGTGCTGATCGACCATCCCGTCGATAAGAGCCCGCAAGAACCGGACGAAGAAGCAGAAAACTTGCGTGAAACCCTAGAGATGGAGGCAAAACCCTAGGAATCCTAGACAGAGATAAGTTTTCCAATTGGGCCGGATAGAAATCAAAATTTAATCTACACGCCCTTGTAATTTCCAATTCTCTTATTAATTAACCTGAATTATTGTGTTTGGTTGTAGGGAATTGTAATTTTTTCATTTTGTTAAATTACAATTCATACTCTCCCTCATATAAACTGTAATTCAATAAAAAATGAAAGTGAAAAAGGAAGAAAAAGACTTTTTTACCCTTGATTATTATTAGTATTATTATAATATTATTATTACATAAGGATATTTTAGTCTTTATACTACTTCTCTTATTGTTCTCAATAATTTTATTCCTCATTTTCAAATAATATAATTTGAATTCATACTTTATTCACCAAATTACAATTCATTTTCCCATCTAATTTCTTTCTTCAAACCAAACGTCATATTCACACAATTAACCTACTCCATGTCACTTTGCAGTTTGAACATAATATCATCACCATTATTGATTATCATTGTTTAATTCCGGATTGAGAAAAGGTAAAATAGGTCATTGAATAAAAAATGAATTGAATTAAGTCATCTAACCCAAAAATTTGCAATTAAGCATTTGAATCATTGACAATTATGTAATTAAATCGAAAGTGACTTCTATTCCTACTTATAAGCTAACGTGACAGTTAACTTTTAAAAAATTAATTTTAAATCTAAAAATAATGGTAAATAAATTTAAAATTTAAATTTTTTTAAAACCCTCTTCGTCTTTGGCCAAATATGACGAGAGAATTTTTTTTTTAAATAAATTTTTTTTTAAAATTATAAAAATAGATTAAAAAATAACCATTATATTAGCCTACAATTAGGAGTACATGTCAGTTTCGATTAACTTATTTATAGTATTTTGTTGACTATGGTTACAATACAAGTTTTTTCATAAATCCAAGAGTATGTGGTTAGAAGTGGAGAAGAACAAAAAGATTGGGGACTAGTTCCGAAAATTTGAATAATGGGGCGCGTGGAGTAAGCGCAGGGGAAACGGAGGGTGATAATGGAGAAGCAAACCGCGGGGTTTGGAAGACAAAAGTGAAAAAGGGTAAAAAGGAAAGGGTAAAAAGTAATGTCGGCCGACACAACGTAGCAATTTCGAACTCCACGAACTGCTACAGCAAAAAGCATATTTACACAAATTTCCCCCAGAATCAATGCACAACATCTCATTACATCAATCTAACATAATCATGCAAAACTTTTTTTTTTTTTTTTTTTTTAATTTGACAACTTTTAAATCATGATATTTGAAATAATTTTTTTTTGAAAGGAAAGGATATCATTAAAATCAAGAGATTAAGTGTTCAATACAAGAAGGAATAGTAGAAAACCAATTAAAATGATCAGTATGAGAATTAGCAGCTCTAGCCAACACATGAGCAAGCTTATTCACTGATCGATTAACATAATGAATAGACACTGATTCAAAGTGCATTTTTAGAGACCGGCAATACTTGAGAACGCAACCTGTATAAGAATAGTCCGGTGAATCATTTTCGAAAAACTTACACACCATCTGATTCAAATGTAGTATTAAAAAAAAACATTTTTATTTTCAGAGGAAAATGTTCAGTTACTATTTGAATGTATACATTAGGTAAATTATGCTTTGTTACTATTTAGGCAGTCCATAGCTAACTAACTCAAACTAAGAAAACCAATAGGTAACTCCCAGTGGAAGTCGAACTTAGAACATTGTGAATACCAAGTCAATAATAGTCTAACCAACTTGGCTGAGTTTGCTCCTGTATTCAAACTTTTTCAGATGACGAGGGAAACATGCCCCGTATGTATAATTGCATGCTCATGTGAGATAAATTGCATTATTAGAAAGACATGCGATAGGCGGCTTCACCAAAAGGGTGGTTGCAAGACTTAAACTCGTGACTATGATATCAGAATCATACTCTACCAACCCGACCATCCCTTCCGGAGCTAATATTCAATTTTTAATATAATTTCAAAAGTTAAACATAAGATTTTTTTTTGTGTGTGTGTGTGTAAACCACGAGATAGTCCGGGTCTTTCTCTGTCTATTTAACGGTACAGGTTCACCCGACATAAGAGAAGTATTATATAACACAATAATTCATAAGATGGAAGGAGCTAGCTAGCAAGTAATATTTTTAAACTTTAGTTGGTATTAAAAACATACTCCGTATATTTCAATAGACCAAATAGCAATTAAGTATTAAATAATCAGACATCAACCTTAATTCAATGAAGAAAAATATTCAAAAATTACAAAACAAATAATTATAAACCTTATAAGCTAACCTAAATCTGCTGCTTAATTGCCTCCATGCATATATATTGATCAAGGGTTATATATATAATTAAACCCTAATTATTAAGGCTTAATTAGGCGCAAGTACTACGTAAAAGAACTTGCCTTCTGCTGACTGCATGCTGCTATTATCTTCTCCTTCGGCAGTTAAAGTATAATACATCCATCATCATCTCCTCCATTACCTTCTGCATTCATAATATAAGGTTACATAAATATTTTGAATTATCAAAAGAATATCAAAATTGGGTTTATTGAATTGCTGTACGTTTTCTCAAACAAACATTTATTTTATTTTTTTTAATTTTTTTTTTGGTTTGAAAACAGACAAATAATTTAGTACATGAAAATTGTCGAAACACTGGAGACTGCATGCGTGTCGTGTAAATGATTAGTACGGAGTATCTTTTCTGTATTTCCATTGTCCCACAATTTTTTTTTTTTTTTACTCTATAATTACTTACTGTTTTTTTTTTAAAATAATTTAAGATTTTTTTTTTTGGGAGTATTACTGTTTCTGTTATAATGTAGTATCTATTCATAGCCTGCCCCCGGTGGGATTCAAACCCAAAACCTCTCATTTGGTCCGAATCTTTCTCTGTCCATTTAATGAACGATCCAGGTCCACCCGGTTCACTCCGAGAGGCATAGAAGCTGGCCCAAAGAGAATCGTCACTTGTGGGAGTTGGACTAAGATATCCCAAAATCCTTCCCTATAAAGAGAGCTCATTTGCCACTTGAGCTACCCTATTGGGTTATGTGCTCTCTATTATGGATATGGTGGGTTTTGTCGTTTAGGTGATTAACGGACTATTTCTCTTCAATTCCTAAAAGCCACCAACATTATAATAGGATATATTCTTTCAATAATCTTATTTTTATTCTGTTTATGAACCAAATAATAGAATAAATCATATTCTACATTATTGTATTCTTTATTAAATAATATTTCTATTCGTTTAATTTCCATTTTTTGAACTAAACATGCTACCTATTAGAGGTTGAATCTAAAGAATGTTCACAATTAAAGGATTTAAAATACTATTTTATTTGACTTAAATAGTGAGTCAATTTTAATAATTAAGAGTTAACTTTCGGAAAGTGGACACAATGTAGAAATAAATATTTAAAAAAAAAATTATTTTAGACAATAAATTCGAGTCACTAGTCTCCATAAATTAGTATTTAAAAAAAAATAATCTAGGTTAGTAAAGACCCTTATTGTCCAATTTTACTCGTCTTGTTAGTAAAGATGTGTAAAGTTGACGCTTTTCACGCCTGGAGAGTAAAAATGCCTATTGTTATTTACTAAAGACGCAAATGCCTCATTTTGTAGTAGTCGATGTGAATTCGAATTTCGATTCCAAAAGAAAATTTTAGAAAAAAAAAATGAATTAGTAGATCAGTAGATGAATGGGGTGACACTAAAAGTTGGGAACTTTAAGCAGGAGACAAAGCAATAAACCAGACAACATTAGTAAAAGGTTATGGTGGATGGGATGCAAATTCATGGGGGAAAAAGAGATGAATTTCAAACTTTTTGATCAACTTTAATTTAAACAACAATATATAACTCCGGATCCCACCTTTCTTTGCATGTAATTGAGATGAGGACAAAGTAAATATCACATTTTTCTTAAAGATCAGATTGTGTGTAAAACTGTCTCACGTGATATATATATATATATATATATATATATATATATATATATATATATATATATATATATATATATATATAAAGATAAATATATATTTTATAAATGCATAGAAAAATATAATATTTTAATTAAAAAAATTACACGTCTCACATAAAACGATTTCGCACAAGACTTATTTGTTTCTCTTCTTAATGTTTACAATATGATTCCACTCATTGTATACCTCAATCTCTGCTAGCTTCTTCCACAAGTTGAGAATCTTAATGTTGTTATTCATATTGTTGGGGTGTTACTCCCCAATCATATCAAATCCAATAAAATGGTTATTCACACTAGGTTACTAGGTTAGTAGTATAAGTATATTTTGTCATATATGTAATGTCTGCCAAATATTACAAATTTCTTCAGTGTATTAAAAAATAAAAACAGTAATATAGTGGTCCATTTATAGTACCTAAAGATTAGTAAATAGGTATATATGTTCACACTAAGTTACAAAAACTGAACTTGTTTGATGAAATGTTGATTTAAAAAAATAATAATAATTCTATAAAAATATAAAATATTTTAAATTATTAAGTCTATGACAGAATAATGTGTGTTTGGACAAACTAATATAAATGGAAAGCCAAAGAAAAATGGATTTGAAAGAACATCAAGTCTTAAGGGTTGGCCTACTACCTTATCTGTATTCCATTTTCACAAAAATTGTGAAGCTCAAGATGCCACATAGCATCATTTTCACAAGTCCTCTCTTCAATGGTTTCTGTTGCTTGGCTGCTATAATCTTTAAAAGCCATTTAATTAATCGCCAGTAACAAATGAAGCACCAACAGTGCCACCATGCCCACACTAGCCCACTAGGTAGGGCTCCCCAGTCCCCACCACATTAGAAAAGGATAGTCTAGGCTTCATACTATGTCATATATAGCCATCACCTATGCCTCCTTCACTTAATTTGGTAACCTAGCTACAATATAGTTACAAATTGTAAACTGTATATATATATTTACCGTCAGTCCGTCACAAGTTTAAACTCATGTATATACAGTAATGTTAGAGGCTTTTTATCAAATAGAGTTAATCGAAGCTCAGGTCAACTAATCACTAATGTTAAAGGGTTGTCATCGAATGAAATAAATCGAGACTCGATTTAGTTAGTCTTGTCCAATAAAATGCAGACGTTGATTGACCCATTATATTACCTTTGGCCTATTAATATATTGATTAAAAAAAGGACCAACTTAATTAAGGCAGTTGCTGCCAAACTATAGGCATAAATGCTAGACAGATCTTAAAGCTAGTCCTTATGGGGTGGCCGGCCCCTACCCCATGGATTAATTAGATGAAATCTAGCAAAAGCAAGTGGACATCGAATCATGCCATTCATATTGAAGACATTATTGTATCACATCCTCAAACTAATTAAAAAAACTCTATAGTTGTATACTTATCAGACCAGCAGAGACAACTTAACACTACTTTGCATCTTTGCATCAATTATATGATATAATAATAATAATAATAATAACAATAACAATAATAATAATAATAATAATAATAATAATAATTTGAGGAGTGTATGCATGCATACCTTCAATTTGGTCACTTCTTAGTTATTCCACATCCCAGGAGGCACCATGTCGCCTAACAATCCCTCATCAGGAGGGAGTTGTGGTGGTGTAGGGCCACGACTTGGGTCCGGCGATGCATGGGACTCGATGTTGTGTGTCAGGTTTTGAGGTGACTGTATGGGTAAAGTATATGATTGGTTTGCGAGCCCGGGGAGATATGACTGCACGGCTAAAGGGTTCAACCGGGCCATATATGCCGAGGCCTCGTGGCCAATGAAGCCGCCTCTAAAGCCGACAGCGTGGTGGCAGTGCTGCCCCTCGTACGTCGTGATCACCACCGTGGGATCCTCAGAGGATCTCTCCACTCTCTTCTTCACCGTGCATTTGCTGTTGGTGCACCGGTAGTAGCTCCTGCAACCATTAAGCAATTAGCCCACCAGGCCAACCATCAAGTGAAAAAATGCTGGAATAACTCAGTTGGTTAGAGCCTGTGGCGGTTAACCACAAGGCTTGAGGTTCAAGCCCTCTTTTTAGGGTCGAGAGCAACCCAATCAAGTTGGTCAAATTAGAACGTATGGAACCTGGGAAAGGGGCTGTTTTTGACAGCTTTCTGACCATATTTCCTCCACCGGTACCCATCTTCAAGGTGATCAACTTCACTTTTAGTCATGAATGCAAACCGGGCCTGCTTGATTCGCTTCGGGCCCTTCTTTTTCACTTTGCTACTTCTGCGGAATATTCAGTACAGTAGCCTAAAGCATCATTACAGATTTACAGATATTCATTCTTGCTCCCTTCATCATATCATGTAAAAACAACAGAGAAAAAACCTTTCCGATCTCGTGTAATATAATATGCATTCAACTACAGACTATTATAACCCAATTCAAAGACAGCGTCAATAACTACGCACTCAAAATCCTTATTATAAGCTATATAACACGTACTAATCAAATTCAGGGTTTGACAGTACGAGATTACTAACATATAGGAGACCATCATAGAAAAATCATTTAACCATAAACTAAAGGAGAAATTGAAAAATAAGTTAAACTAATAAGGAATTTATTTTCTTATATTTGCTTAACCGTCAGTGATATTGGACTCCACTTTCTAAGTTATCTTTCAACAACCCATTTACGAGGAAAGATGGTTGCACCTCGAGAAATAGGACAGCACGCCATTTCCGCCGTAATGGCGGCGGTGATATATCCACTGAACAAATATCTCCGATCACTAATAAAGTGATTTTTTTGAAAAACAAATTATTCTGCCACCGACTCAACACCGACCTCGAACTCCGCCATTAACGTAATCCTTCAAAAAAGTGTACGGACGGAGAATGGCATTATTCCTATTGGGGTTGCATCCTATATATAATTCTACGGTCCATTTCTCACAAGTTTCCACGAAAATTCAAAAGGAATATATTATGAATTTAGGAATTTTTTAATTTTTTTTTTTGGTTTCATCTTTTTGACCTTGAAAACGGCATTTAATTACAGATTTAGACACGCATTTCATGTGAGAAACACACGCACGCACGCACTCACTCACGTTGTGTCCGCAGGCGGCGGCGGCCGCGAGGCGGAGGAGGAGGAGGGCTTCTCCGCCGCTTCCTCCGAGGAGCTGGAAGACGCCGGCGCGGCCGCCTCTCCATCGCCGCTAGGACTCTCATCAGCAGCACCGGAACCAGAAACACAACCGTTATTTCCCGCCAAATCCGAGTGGATCAGATCGAACGCTCCAACTCCTCCTCCTCCGCCGCCTCCGCCGGCCCCGTGAAGTCCGTCGAGCGGTTGAAAATTCCAGCCGAAGTCGCTCAGGATGCTGCTCTCCTCCTTATCAACGCCGCCGTCGCCGAAGTAGTACGCCCCGTCGGCGTCGCCGCGCAGCGCCCAGCCGCTCGAATCGGCGGTGAACTCACGGTGATCGAACTTATTCCCCTCATCATCCATTCCCCGACGATCGTAATTCGTGAATCGATTCTTCGCGGACGCAGAGATCGAGACAGAGGAAAAAGAGAAAAGCTAGGGTTTATGGCGGAGTGAGATGAAAAATAACCGCGTTTTATCGAGAGGCTGTCTGGGAGAAGAAGAAAGCTGATGTCGCGTCAAAACATGGGGAGCTGAACACTGAGACGGAGAATAGAAAAAAGATAATATAAAAAATTGGGCGTCAAACACCAAATAGTACGGGAGAGGCTGATATTTAAGCAATCACGGAGTAGATTTTGTTTCCACGCGCGTAAGATAGCGGTCACCGTAAACTAGTTTGCTTCAAATCCACGTAAATATATATGGAATTTTGTGAAGAGTATCTTTTTAAGAAAAGCTAAAATTAATAAAAACACAATTTGATGGAGCGGTATAACTGTGGTTTTCACAGATTTTAACAGATAGGCGCAAATTATGTTGTAGAAACGTGTTCACCATGCGCATGCTGAATACAGGGGTAAATCTATAAATTCTATACTATAGATTCATAGTTTTTTTTTTTAAACGTAGATTCATAATTTTATTTTTCATTTGTTAATTCATAATTTTATTTTTCATTTGTTGTTACAGATATTATAAATCTACAGTACAGAAATTATGAATCTACGGTATAGAAATTATGAATCTACAGTATAGAAATTATGAATCTACAATATAGAAATTATGAATCTACAGTATAGATATTATGAATCTACAGTACAGAAATTATGAATCTACAGGTTGGAAATTATGGATCTATCCTGTTAACAACAAATGAAAAACAAAATTATGAATCTAAGTTTTTAACAAAAAATAAAATAAAATTATGAATCTACAGTATAGAAATTATGGATCTACCCATGTGTTCATCATGCACATGGTGAATACGTTTCCACAGCATAACTATTTTCATATAGGGGCATTGACTCTTTGTGCAATAATTGTGATTCAATATATTTTACTATATATGGATAATAATGCATGTATTACGTACTCTGTATTATAAAATTTATTTAAAAAATGTGTTTTTCTCATGAATTTGTAATTTTTTTCTTCTTTCTTGCCTAGCTTTATCTGACTATTGCCTCCATCATAAAAGATCAAAGCATGAAAATCTTCATATCATAAAAAGATCTTTGAGTTGAAGGAACGCCTTCATCGTAGATGAAGAAATATCGAAGATTTACGTTTTAGTTGAAAAACAAATGTGTATGAGCTCTGCATGTTGTTCGTAGCAGATAAGTTTTAATTGCAATTTTTTATTTAAATATTTCAATTGCATTTTCATATATATTTTAATGACTTATTTGATTATATTTTTAAATATATATTATATGGACGGTTAAAAGTCCATTATGTAAGATATGATGTTGTAATATCTCTAGAAGCCAATTGTTGTAGGATGGGGGCAGTAGATGGGACATATAATATAAACCTTGACAAGTCAAGTTTGAATATATGTTGCAATGGATATAGTAGGTCAAGAATAAATAAATTTTAATAGATATTTTTCAACATTTAGATATGATATGATACTCAAGATGTGAGTGAATTGAAGAATGTGTATGTTATATATATGTATTTTTGTTTCAACTAAAAACCTAAATTTATAAATGAACTACACTGTTTGCATATTTATGTTTATATATTATCACGTGTGGATCAATAACTTTTTACTGAGTTTCAAACATCACATAAATCGTAGTTTCATTTTTATTAAATGTCAATTTTAATAACAAATTGAACGATGTGTTTTGTCTCAACTAAAATGCTAAAATATTTAAAATAAAAATTATGACAAAGGAAATTGTCATTATATAAGCAGTGGCGGATCCAAAAATCTTCTCCAGTGGGGGCGAAAAATTAAAACTAACGAGATTTTTTTAAAAAATGAAACACTTAGAGACCGTGTCATAAATATTGTTGACTAAAGATGAAAATTTAAATACATCAAGATAAAAAAAATTTAAACAAAATATAAAACATAATTAATTAGATAAAATAATTTGAATGAAAAACACATTATAAATCACTCATCTCACTATTAATATTAAAAATAAAAGTCACAATGTCAAAAAATAAAAAATCTAATTAGAATTATTCTCAATATTAATATTTAAAAGTGTCAAAAACAAAAGTTCACTCATCTCACTATTAATGTTAAAAAATAAAAACCAAACCAAATGTTGTAGGGCTTGAATCTGGCCTAGACTATTGCATATTACATGAAAGTAGAGGGTTTACCATCTAAGTCAAACAAACATTTGACCAAGTTTTAGTATATATAATATATATACGATATATATGGGGTGGGTGAGTGGGGACAGCTGCCCCCACTGTCCCGGCTGTGGCTCCGCCACTGTATATAAGGGTATGTTAAGAATAAGCTTTGATAGAAGAAAAATGACAGACAAAGCTGGGAAAAACTACACTGTATTATTGAATATAGAAAATGGCTTTATAAAGCCATACATCATAACATAAAAGAGAAAGAAAAGAGTCCATTACTCCAACTACTTTGAATAAATAAAATACAATTTATTAGCTAAACTTCACTGATTTTAAGCAAATCCCAACAATTCCTCCCCTAAACTAAATGCTCTAGCATTTAGTTTATACCAGCTTCAGCGCAGACACCCATGAGTCTTCTCAATTTGCAGAACTAATCAACTTTAAGAGGTTTGGTCATCACATCTGCCACTTGATCTTGTGAATCACAATGCACCAACTCAACTTTGCCACCTTTCGTTAACTCTCGAAGGAAATGAAAACGTACACCAATGTGCTTGCTTCTACCATGCATCACTGGATTCTTGGAAAGCTTGATTGTTGAGCTGCTATCACAAAAAAATAGTGGTTACTTTGTCAAGACTTTGGTCCAATCTTGACAGCACCCTTCTTAACCAAACTGCTTGGCATGCACATGATGAAGCAGCAATAAATTCAGCTTCTGTAGTGGACAGACTCACTACTGGTTGCTTTTTGGAAGACCATGAAATTGCACCTGAGCCTAATAAGAATACATAACCTGAAGTACTCTTTCTGTCATCTGTATCTGATGCATAATCACTATCAGTATAAGCAACAAGTTCATCACCTCCTCCGGTCTTGTAGAAAATTCCAAACTCAGTAGTGCTCTTTAAGTATCTCAGAACTCGTTTCACCACCTGCAAGTGTAGCTGAGTCGGAATTTCCATATATCTACTTGCCAGACTTACTACAAACATCATATCTGGTCGTGTTGCAGTAAGATACATGAGGCCCCCAGTCACTTGCTTGTAATATGTCTTATCCACAGCAACTCCTCCTTCATCCTTCGTTGGTTTCAAGCTAAGAACAATTGGATTATGGACAGAATTACAAGTATCCATTTCAAAACGCTTCAAGACCTCTGATGCATATTTATTTTGATTGATAAAAATGCCATTAGACCTTTGCAAAACTTTAAGACCAAGAAAATACCTCATTCTCCCAAGATATGTCATGTCAAATTCATTCTTCATGGAATTTTTAAATGCGATTAACAACAACTCATCATTACCACAGACAATAAGATCATCAACATATAAACTGACAATCACCACCTTATCTTCGTGCCTTTTTATGAACGAGTGTGTTCATAATCACATTTTTCAAAACCTTCTTTGCGAAAATAAGAATCAATATTGCTGTACCAAACACGTGGGGCTTGCTTGAGCCCATAGAGTGCTTCTTCTTTTTTTTTTTTTTTTTTTTTCAGTTTATATACTTTATCCTATTTCCTTGCTGAACATAACCACTTGGCTGTTCGATAAAGACATTTTCGGATAATTCACCATTCAAAAAAGCCGATTTCACGTCTAATTGATAGATAGTCCATCCTTTATGAGCTGCAAATTCCACAACCATCATAATTGTCTCCATACGCGCAACAGGTGCGAATACCTCAGTGTAGTCAACCCCATACTGATGCGAGTACCCTTTCACTACAAGTCTGGCCTTGTATTTATCCACCTCTCCAACCTCATTAAACTTGGTATTATAAACCTATTTTATTCCTATTTTCTTTGCTCCTTTTGGTAATTCTGTCAATTCCCATGTATGATTTTTTTATTGCCTCAATTTCTGCATCCATTGCTCTCTTCCACTTGTCACTTTTAATGGCTTCATCAAACAGCACAGGATCATCAACTACAGCCATCACAAGACAAGCTTCATTTTCATCTTCGGAAAGCCCTTCTCCAGTTTCATAGTCCCGCATCCAGGCAGGTTGAACCCTATTTCTCCGTAGATTAGTAGATGGAAGATCAGCACTAGTGGAGACATCAGAGGCAGATTGCTCTACATCGGTAACAACTTCAGATTCACATACGTTGTCCCTCTCATCAGGTTCAACGACATCATTTTCTTGAGCTCTCCACCCCAAATCGCAAATACTAGCATTATCACACTTCTGATCCCAATCCCAAGCCTTATCTTCTTCAAACACAACATCCCTACCGACTATAATTTTCTTTGAATGAGGATCATATAGTCTATAAGCTTTTGACTCTTCGCTAACCCCTAACAATACACAACTTATGCTTTTATCATCTAGTTTAGTTCTTTTAGAATCATATACATGAACATGAGAAATGCACCCAAAAATACGAAAATACTCAATTGGCAGATTGGTTCCACTCCAAGCTTCTTCTGGAGTTTGATCTTTAACTACAAGTGTTGGACTTCGGTTTAGGACATGTACTGTCCAATTAACTGCTTCAGGCCAGAAGGTTTTTGGGATTTTCTTTGCATAGAGCATGCTACGTACCATATTCATAATGGTCCTATTCTTGCGCTCAGCTACTCCGTTCTGTTGTGGTGTATAAGCTGTTGTCAATTGTCTTCGAATGCCATTGTCGTCACAATAGTTTGTAAATTCATGTGATGTAAACTCACCTCCTCGATTAGTTCGCAAACACTTGATAACCAAATCTGATTCTTTATCAACACGAACTTTAAAACTCTTAAAAATAACAAAGGCTTTTGTTTTTTTTCAAAAGAAAATACACCCAGACTTTTCTGCTAAAGTCATCAATAAAAGTAATCAAGTACATTTTTTCTACTATTTGAAGCCAATGTGATTGGCCCACAAATATCAGCATGAATCAGTTGAAGAATTTGTGTTGCTCTCCAAGTGTTATTCTTTGGAAATGACATCCATTGTTGCTTTC